TCTATGATTCTATGTCCAGAAAACTACATCATGAGCAGACTACCAGTCAGCTCATGCATGCTTAAGTTCTCCAGTTTAATGTGGTCCACAAGCGAAACCCAGCAGGTACTGGCACTGACCTGCAGGGAATTAGAATGGACCTGGATTTCAGGCATTTCAGCCGAGATCCAGAATGGAAGTCCTCAACCACAGCTAAACTGATGAATAATCAGGGACCTGGCAGCAATTTTGTGTTCTCAGGTCTAAGTTACCAAAGTAGTAGAGGTAATTATCTGTGACACTCAAGAGACTGTACTTACCCTGAGCAATGACATCCTCGATATTTTTTCCATTCAGCTCACTAATAACCTGTGTAAATTAAGTTTAGAATGTTAATAGTTTCAAACCAGTGTGAGTATAAGCTACATTTAAACAGGTACTGATTAATCATCATGTGAAATGCCTCCATCCTGCTGCTGATACAGCCACAACATTCCTTGTTTCTCAGTGGAAGGAATGGGATGTTGGAACTAAAACTTCAGCTAAGTCTTTTACACCTTTCTGTGAAAGCTTTTTCATTAAATCTATTACCACAAAATTGTAACGAATCCAAGGACTTTGCAGAAAGAAGGATACACAGATGTTGGGGAGCCAATCAGGAAACCCCACTGACGGTCCGTAAATCACTGAGGGACTGTCAACATCTCTTGCTTAATTCCCACAGGGAGGCTCTGAAGCACGGGGTGCTAGACCGAAAACCTCAAGGTTCTATTCCTAGCCTTACCAAATGTTACAGCTGAGCTGGCTATTGTATCCTTGCACTGGAACGGGTGGTCCTAACTTCAATTTTACTACCTTTTCTGTATAACCAGTGTTGAGGAAGGCAAAACACAACAGAAATTGCTAAAGCAAGAAGCACTTAAAAAAAAAAAATAAAAAAGAAATGCCACAGACATTACTGGTAAGTCCCTGCTACCATGAGTCAGTGCTGAACACTGCGGGGTCGCCAAAAGACTTTAACCAAGAACTTTTTAACAGGCATCTCCTGCTTACACAGAGCAACTGGCTGGGGTGCTTGCTTCATGCAGAAGGAAGGCAGTTTTAGGACTTCATTAGATTTACACTGGTATAAGATACAGCCAGCACAAACAAAAGAGGATTAATTATGACCAAAACAAATTCCAGAGAAGCCTTCTGGATATTGGAGGATCAGGGAAAACAACTAATTTGTTGACAAACACAAACAAGCCAAAGCCAAAAGACCTGGCATTAAACATGAGCACCACCAGTTCAAACCAACATCCCAAACCATAATATGGATGCTATTAGCTCAGTTAATCCATCATTTGGTCAGGCCTACGATAAAACACTGTCTCCAACTGGGAAAGTAACCTGGTTTTGCCTCCACCTCTCTGGAAACACTCCCTGTACAAGTATGGGGCAGTTGATAAGACCATTTATTGGTTTTTCCCCACCCCCCGCCAATGGCCATTTATTTCAAGTCCACAAGACTGAAAGTCAATTCTATCATAAGACACATTCTAATCAAGATACTCTCTTCTTAAAATGCCCGTTTTGCAGCACAACCATTTCAGCACTCATTTCCAAAATCTTCCCAAGTACTATTACTACCTTAAATGTCCATAATTTGCTTGTTTCTTGATGAAGAAACAGATGTTTCCTTGCAGTATACTAAGTAAAAACTTATTACTGAATATCAGCCCTTCAAAAGCACTAGCTTTTAATCTGTACCGACCAAAAGCCAAAACATTAAATGTTAAGTAGTGAACAGAACTTATTTTCAATACATATTTATCTCTGTTAGCCACTATACCCTTGAAAATTATTAGACTGAATGGTCAGAAGTCAACAACAGACGGAATCTTTGCGGAGAACAGGTGTTAAATAAGAAAGCCAGACTTCCACAAACACGTTGCAAAAATAGTTCTGATCAGTTAGGCAGTGTTTCAGGAATCATACATGCAATGATTATTGAACGTCTGAACAAAACTAGTTCAACACCAAACCAACTACAGAAACACCGAAGTCAAAGTAACAGCTCCAATGTCTGATGCCGACTGGGCCATGACCATCTGGAACTAAGAGGCAACGCCACCTTGTTCATGCGTTCATCGTCTGTCTCAATGCCGACGCTATCGAGGATCTTTTTCAAGTCCTTTGACGTGGGAGACTCGTTGCCACCGAGGACTGCTAGAAGGTAAGCTGCGACGTAACGCATCCTGGAAAACAACAGAGCTGGATCTTCAGTGTCAATGAACCGGTTCCATGTTCGGACGAAGTTTACCTTCTCACCGCAGGGAAGCAACCCTCACTTTCCCCATACAACTGCTTTGCTCTGCTTCTAAAGGAAACACCACGGCACGTGAGGCCGCGTACCAACCTCCTACCAGCGCACAACAGCACCTAACACCGCAAAGCCGCGGCGGCTCCCGCCCTGCGCCGGGCTCCGGGGCGCTGATCCCTCAACGGCCTGCTCGGTCTAACCCCGCCGGTGCCCCACGCCTCTCCCTAAGGAAAGCGGCACCGCGTCCTTCCTAACACCTCTTCGTCACCACGGCTCACCGCGGCTTCCGCCTGAGCCTGCCCTGTTGCCTCCCTCCGCAGGCTCGGCCAGGGAGAGCACATGGCCGCCATTTGCCGCACACCCTCCCGCACCAAGTGGTCTCGCCAGAGCTCCACTGGCGGCCGCGAGCTGGAGGGCCAGGAGCGACCATTCCCGGGGGAAGGGGGGGCGGTGGGAAGGGGAAGGGGCAGCCGCGCGCTTACTTGGTTGGCGGCGGCGGCACGAGAGACAGGCCTGGGACGTGCGCTGGGGATGGCAGCACGGCAGCGAAAAGGAAAGGGCGGTGCTTCGGCAACGACTTCTTCCCGTCACCCCGCAACAACGGACGCTGTCATTGGGCCGACCCGGCGAGGAGTGGACAGGCTAATAGCCGCGCGCCTGGCCGCTGCCACCCCCAAAGAGGGGCGCATGCGCAGCGCGGGAGGCACACGGCCCCTAGGCTGAGGGTGCGCTCCCCATAGGAGGGAGCGGACGATGTACCCTGTGCCGGGAGTCGGGAGTGCGTAACCAGCGGGGCAAGGTCCGGCATAGAGCCGAGGACCAAACAGACTTCACTGTGTAAAGCACATCCCTTCAGTAGTAGTGTCTGTGTGCCGTCATAGCTAATCGTAGAACAGTTTGGGTTGGAAGGGACCTCCAGAGGTCGTCTAGTGCAGCTTGCTCTTCAGTGTACTGAGGATGCAGTACTCCATGGGGGGTCTCACCAGAGCAGGATAGAGGGGCAATGACAGGAGTTATTTCTTTCTGGATTAGGGAAATGAATGAAAGTGTAAAGTTAATATAAGTGCCAAAATCCACTGGACCCAAATAAACCAGAAGTGCTGCAGCAATAGGGCTCTGAGGAGGCTTTGGCTGTCCCTGCCTTGCGGCCCTGTAGGCTGCACAGAAAGCTCAGGTGTGGGTGAGAGTGCTCTCTAGTGCCTCCAGAAGACAAGCACGCTCCCAGTTCTATACTTCAGAGTTATAAAAGTAGGTGCTTCAGAGAAACAGTTTTCAGCAGTTACTGTCTTCTCCCCATGGGAAGAGCAATTTCCCTCAGGGCACTGCAGCTTGTGTTCAGCTTTGAGCAAGAGGTGCTTTTCCCAGGGGATCACTGTGCCATAGCACTGAGGCACCAGCTGGAAACTCGCTGCTATGGAAAAGGGGCTTTGCTCCTCTCAGTGAAATGGAGAGCAACGCAAATGCTGCAGGGCCTCACCAGGATGCAGTGTTAGACCAAACGCTGTCCATCACTCCAAGGCTGGAGTCAGACACCCATCGGAGTGCACAGGGCAGCAGATTAGCAGTGGCAGAGCCTCGTGGCTCTGGGCAGGCCAAGAGCACACAGTGGTGTGCATCTTACAGCCCCTGCTCCTGCTATCCTGCCTCTTATCCAAGGTGGTAACAAATAAAAGTGGGAAATGAACTTAAAGCAAGAAGAAAAAATTGGGAAATAATCACAGACAGTCATGGATGTAACTCAGGAAGAACTTGGGTTGTTTCTTCCTTACAAGAAGGAAATGTTTGATAAGATAAATACAACACAGTTAAGAGAAACACAAGTAGAACAGACACCTCTAATCATAGCTGACAACAAATAATGCTCTGTTTGAAGGGAGAACTTGTGAAGCAAAAAGCTCAGGACTTCCAAGGACAATGACAGCAGTCTATAGGAAGAGATGCCAGATGTGACCTGCACAACGTATTGCCTTTGGCAGACACTGGCTTATCGGAAACATCGTTGTTCAAGTGCAGGAAAATTGAAGCACACCACCACGAGCTGCCCGTGGCCCACGTTCCTGCAGGCTGAACTCATGCCTGAGCCCGGGGGGTCTGCACCGGGACCAGCCGGGGTACCAAGGCCATGGCGGGTTGGAGACATCTCATTTTGTGACATTCTGTGACAGCGGGACGCCAGTGCCTGGCTCCCCAGAGCCGCCTGCCCCTTGTCCCGCTGCATCCGGCACCTCCTCCGGCTCGTCCCGCCCCGGCAGCGCGGACCAACGGCAAACTTTGCAGGAAGTGCCCGGGCTGAGCCGGGCCGAGCCAAACCGAGCACGGCCGGGCTGCCGGGACTCAGGGTTTGTGTGCCAGGGACCGGGTGCGGAGGGGTGAGACAAGCGTGGCCGTGCTCCGCGGGGCACAGGGCGTGTGACTGGCAGCTCTGCTGTAGCTCCTGCCGGGGGTCCCCGGGGCTGAGCCTCGGCTCAGGGGCCCGGCGGGGTGCGGGGTAACGGGGGCAGGTGAGGACAGTCGGGGTGAGTGCGTGTTGGAGCGTGTGCACGTGTGTGTGTGTGTATGTGCACAAGGGTGACTGCCCGTGTCCCGTCCGCATGCCTAAGGCTGCATTGGTGGACTCTGGGCCTCTCCAGCTTGGCCAGTTGAGCAGACCAGAACTGTCTGGTTCCTTCACCATCAGTGGCTTTACAAAGCTATATCAGATGGTCTGTTTGCTTACCCATATCTGTAAGATCACTGTGTATGTGTTGTGTACAGCCTTTTTGTAAGAAATACTTAGCTTTTTACTGAAGCAGTAGTTTCCATTTAGCTGTGCTTCCTGTCCTTATGTGTCCATAAGGTTTCTGCTCTTTCAGGGAATCAGGTGAAATGCCTCCCCCCAGGCAAGTGCCCTGGGAGCATCAGTGCAGCCATGTCCCACAGGTTCCCAGTAGAAAGCCCTGCTCCTCAGGGTTTTGCAGGGACATTAGCTTGCTTCTGCTGGCCTTGGATGGTAAAGCCATTAGAAGTTTTTGTAGTTCTGAATCACTCACTCAAAAGAAACTGCTATTTGCATATTTGATCCAAAGTTCTTTAACAAGACCTCCTGATATTCACACCATTAGCTAGTTTAATTGCCAAGCTCAGGAGGAGCTGCAAAAGATGAAGGAGGTGTGAAGATCAGTGGACTTGGAAGTTTGTGAGTACTGGTATAAAAACAAGTGTGGTGCCTCTGCGTATCTTTGCATTACAGTGTACTGTGATGGTACTGGCTGATTTTGAAAGTCCAAGGTGGATGAAAGCTTCTTTACACTAAGAAGGCAGAGGAATAATTACTTTATTCAAATTCCATACTTCTGCTCCTTAAGGTTCAAATCCTTCTTAGCATGCACTATGTGTTATCTATTTTTCCCCTTTCTCTTTATACCTGGAGGGTGCTGTGAGAAGAGGAAACAAAGACTAGCTGGTAACTAGCCTGCCATGGTGTTGTGCCCCGTTTGCTGCATTAGAGTATCCCTGTGGAGGCAAATCTGCAAGAGCCCCAGTCCCACTGACAGTCCAGTGCTCCTGTGCCACTGATATGCCTTTTCTAACCCCCTCCTTGGCCCTGCCATATTTGCTCTGCTGCCCTTTGCCCGTTTCATCTATGCTCACTTTTATCCCATTGGCACCCAGTTTCACAACCGGGTTCAGTGAGGACCCGTCACAGCCTGTGAGCAGCCTCTGGGCTCTCCTCTTGGCTCAGCTCTCCCTGTCCCTGTTTCCCCCCTACACTTATAAAGATTCCCACTGATGCACTTTGAAATCTGCATAAGGCATAGGCATTTACATTTATATCTTTTAAGGTTAATATTGCTATTTATTTTGATGGTGGGTAACGGCTCCATTCCCTGCTGAGATACTGGGTAGGAGAGTTCATAGAGTTTCTCCTTGGAGGAGAAACCTCTGTGGCATCTGTCACCCTGCATTTCTGTGCCCACAAAGCTTTCAATAATGTGTGTATAATCCTTCCTCTCCTCTTGCTGTAATTATCAGCTGTTTTCAGCTGCCCTGGATTGGGGCAGGAGGCCTTCATTTTGCACTTATGTTCCTTTCAGAACCATCTTTCCTCCTCCTCCTTGTCCCAGCTGCATTGTGGTGCCGCTGGTGCCTGCCTGCCTGGCAAGTCAGAGCATGTCCGGACCCTGTGAACCAGCTGCAGAAGATGGCAGAGCTGCTGGGGCTCAGAGACGAGTGCAGGGAGGGGGCTTTGGGAGCTCCTGCACTTGCTGCCTCCTGCCTTGCAGACAACAAGCTGAACCTGGATGTATATCTTGACGGCTGCAGCAGGTTCCTCCAGCTGTTTGAGGGGCGACAGGGAGAGGTGCTCCAGGTGGAGTTCCTCCGACTCAGCAGCAATGATCGTCTCCTTGGCACCACACTAGACATCCTCCCTCATCTGAAGCACCTGAAATCCCTGGTGATTAAAGGTAAATTCCATCCAACTTTTCTAGGCTCAGCTTTTTCTTATTTTAAACCTCCTCTGCACATCTACAGGACAAACTGCCCTTGGAATTGTTTTGTTCTAGTGCCCCTTACTACAGTTTTGGCTCTTAGCCTTGCCCAGATTTGTGTGCAGATTTCAACAAGGTACAGCTTCTAGATTCTTATTTCCTTCCTTTGTTTCTACAGCTGCCTGGGAAGCTGGTTTTGGAGTCTGGTTGGGTTGATGCTGCAACATTTTCTTAAGTCATCCTCTAGAAGAGCATTTTTTGCACAGTTATGCAAGGAGAGGGGCATTGAAAGGTGTTGGATGTTTTGGTAAATGTTCAGCCTCTCTTTAATTTTGGGAGTATAACGAGCTGTCTTTGCTGCATTTCCATCTGAACATCTGAATCAATCCTAGCTTAATCGTTGCTTAGTCTCAGTGGATGTAGGTTTAACAGAGTTCAAGACAGACCAAAAAAGGCTGCTCAACATTTTATCAAAAGTATGACTCAGGGTGTACACATAATTTGGTGAGGTGTAATAACTATAAATATTAGATCATTCTTTGACTTTCTCATCTCTTTATTATAGAAGGATCTCAATACAAGTGGTATAATTTCTGTACCAGACTGAATCATTTGCTCTTTGGGAGGTGGAATTTTAAAAAGAAAAAAATAAAAATGAGAGAAAAGCAGGGAATTTGTGGCCAGATTTTAGGGTTCTATGTGAAGACTGAAAAGATTGAGGTTTGTTTCTGTATCTGCCACAGATTTTTCATGTTAATGATTTCATTTGTCTTTCCCCTTTTAGTAAGGTGAGCGTAACAGCAGTACCTTTTATCAGGCTTGCTTTGTGACATGTACACACACCCTGAGCATCCTGAAGGGCAATAAAATAGTTTGCTAAGATTTCCTTATGTACAAAGTGCAATGTGCCCGTTAGCTTGATGTTGTTCTCAATTTTTACCGTGATGCAGCATAAAAAATGTTTGGTGCCCTCTGCTGTATGTGTATACAGATAGACAGCAACGGAGGAGGTATGATGAAGTGGAATGTTTTGGAAATTTTCCTTTTGTTCACTTGACTTATTTTCCATGGCTGCAGCCCTTCTCCAGCCTGAGTGTCACAGGCTGGGGTGGGAACTTATGTCCTTTCCTCTCGGCCCTGTCTGGCCTATGCAATACTGAATTACCTGGTTTTTTTCCCCCACATTTTCACTGCTTTCCTCATGTCTCCAGTCTTGCAAGGGCAGCTCTCAGTCCTCAGGGCTGTTTGTCGCTCAACAGTATTGGGGAGGGATGGAGGGCACTGATGCAGGTGGGGAAGGTGAGTAGGAGGCTTGGAGGAATGAGTTGCCCTGCTGAGGGGTGGTAGATGTGTGGAGTGGCCTTGCTCTTTCTGAGCTTCGGCTCCAGATGTGTTTAGCAGAGCTCTACTTGTTGACTGTGGCGTCTCTTGATTTCATAACAGGTCTTCACCATTATACCCCTTTCACTGATCAGGAAACAGAGGCAAGGGGCAGAAGCCCGATTTCTGTATGAGTACTTTGTAATCAGTGCTGCTCACTGGGATCAGTAGCTCCGCATTTTCTATGTCTGCGTGCTAAGGAGTCTCACGTGAGGCTGTTGAGGTATCCCTGTAGCATATTGACCTCTTCCTCCACTTCCCTCCACACCCAGGTGGCCATGCCAGGGATGAGTTTGGTTCATGTCAGCATGGCTCTCTGACAAGCTTACCAGCAGACATGGGGAACCTGAGGTGTCTCACCCACCTGGATCTCACTTTCAACAGCCTGTCCACCTTGCCCAGCTGCATCCTTCATCTCTCCAGCCTTCGTGTGCTCCTGGTGAGCCACAACAGACTTGTGGCACTCCCTGAGGACTTTGGCTGTCTGAGCAAGCTGACTTTCTTCTCTGCTATGAAAAATCAGCTGAAGGACTTACCTCGGAGCATTGGGGACCTAGCAGTGCTGCAGGACCTGGATCTCTCTGAAAATGCTTTGGAATTCATCCCTGAAGAAGTGGGGAATCTGCATAACTGCACAGAGCTAGATCTTTCTGGGAATTGCTTATCAAGCATCCCAGACTCCTTAGGTATGTATTTTCTAGGGGAAAAGAAGGACATGGGCTTGCCTAGCTTTTGATACAGTCTGGGACCCCTGAGGCCCTTGGTCTCTGTCCCCAGAGTTGTTAGCACAAAACATCTGTTACGTTAGAGCCAAATGGGAAGGATATCCAGAAGAAGCACGCTTGGCTCAGTCAGTCCCTTTGAGCATTAAATCCCTCTGGACCATGCTTTCTGCTTCTATGCATCAGCAAGACTGGTAAGATTTCAATACAATTTACAGTAACTGAGGATCTGGCCAGGCTGGTTTTGGGTAGCACACAAGTCTGGAAACAGAAGAGCTGGAGTTTCATGGGATGCAAATTTGGGCTTGAAATCATGCTGTCGAGTGTGGACCAGTCCACAGAACCGGGCTCTGGTTTCTGCTGCCCAGCTTCGTGGCTCTTGGGTCCTGTATTACTCTGTGCCTGGGGTTGTCATTGGTGCTGTTACGGAAGCATCTCACATCAATACTTGAAAAGCAGAGGATGGAGGAGCCTGCCTTGCCTCTTAGCTAATTCCCTGCACCCCTTTATTTTGTGAGCTAAAGAGATGTTTGGGCTCGTGTGCTTGGTTTTTATTGTGTGTCTGTGTACATGTCATGAGGAGAATAGGGGTGGAGGGTGTTAGAACTTATGTGCAATGCAATTAGCAGCATGGATGGGGGTCACTTCTTGTTCTAACCTGCAGCCAATTTGAAGTGTCTGCGGCAGCTGCATCTCCACAGCAATCTCCTGGTGACTGTCCCTGCCTCACTTGCCAGCCTGCCCAACTTGTCCAGACTTGATCTGCAGAATAATTGCCTCAGTGCTGTCCCACCTGAGATCCAGACCTTGCCATTCGTGCGCCTCCGAGGCAATCCCTTAGGAGAAACTGAGCCATCCCCACAGGCTGGTAATTGCAAGGCTTCTGTTGCTCTGGGTTCTGACCAGCTGTTCCCTCAGTCAGCCCAGCATGGTGTAGATGGGTTTGGATTAGAGAACACAAGCAGGGGGGAATCAGATCAGTATTTATTTGTCTGGAATAATAATTAGGTTGTAAGGATACAGACGATACTAGTTCTCTTTTTACTAGCCCAAGCCTAGCCAGAAGGCTCAGTGGTCCCTGGAATTAGTCTTGCTCGGAATGTTTTTACAGTGGAAGTGAAAATGGGATTCACAGGAGGTGGATCAGGGGAGGCCCTTAAAGGGGTCCAGCCCTTTTAGAGAAGGCAAGCACCAGTTCTTGGACTTGCTGCATGGCCCTAAGGTGGTGGCTCATGCTAGAAGCACAGAGAGCAATAAGAGGTCATCCTGCTGTGTAGTTACCTCCTGCTTTCCAAGGCTGCAGAGGAGCAGCTCCTTGTCCAAGATGCAGGTAATGAATGAGCAGGAATCTGGGCAGGGTTTCCTAATGGTGCTCATATTCACAGATTCCCAATCAAACATTGCCCTGAGAGCTGCAGGGGTGGTGGATTGAAATATTTTCTAATTCCCCCAGCTTCTGGGTTCTGAGTTTTCCTGGGGGAGAGTCAGCATTTCCAGTGTGTCTTGGAATCCTTAGGCCTGTTCATATCCTGCTGCTTGATCTGAAGCCCGCTGCAGTGTGAACAGGGTTCCTTTAATTACTTCTGTCAGGTTAGAGTTAAGCCAAAGCTTAACTCTTAAATACAAGTTAAACCTTTCTTGTCTACCCTGATCTAAGTAACATCTGTGTCCTCCCTCTACCCAAACCTTCTTATTGCCGCAGATGAATCCAGTGCTGGAAGACTACGAAGACTCTTCCTTGCATCAGGAGAGGACAGGTAAGACTGTGCTACCAAGAACTTTTATAACAGTCATGTAACAACAGCCCAGACGTGATTGGTGCATGGTGGGTATTGCACGTACATGTAGTAGCTTGTGGCCTCAGTAGGCCAGTCAAATAAAAGGCTTGAGATTCTTGTGTTGATTTTTGGAGGGCTGAAGTCATTGCATACATTCATGCATTTTTTTCTGGAAGCTTTACTGTCACCCCTGAAGGCTGCAAAGTGGTCCTGGCCTGTGGCATCCATTTCTACTTTCCACCGGGGGCTGCCTCTGACCCTCTGCAGATCTACTTCCGAACTCTCTCACCGGACCCTCAGTATGTAAGGCTGCGACACCATGATGTCCTGCTGAGTAGAGTCCTGGAGCTGCAGCCTCATGGGGTCAAATTCCAGCAGGTGAGGATGCATCCAGGCCTCCTCCTGATCAATTTGCCTCTGCAGTAGCTTGGGAGAATCTTCTGAGAGAGTGTTTTGGGACTTTTTGAGAGCACTGTTCCCATCACTACTGCTTTTAAGTAGCTGCAGGACTGCCTTTCAAAGAAGCCCCACTGCAAAAACTCAGAAATGACACAGCCAGCTTCTCTGGCACTGTGCTGGTCTGACTCCTTTGCCTTCCCCACTGTTCCTGCTTGAGCTGAGCTATAATCTTCCTCACTCACCTCCTGTGCCAGAAGATAAGTGCTTTTCCAGCATTTGATCTCAGCCTGCAAGGAGAACAGTTCACATCCTTCTCTAAAAGTCTGATTGTGTGGTTTTCATTCAAGCTGGTGAGCACTTATACCACCAGCTCCATCATGGCTGACAACAACTCACTGCAAAAGTTGCTTTGCCCTTACTGTCCACAGGCTACAGAACTTTTCCTCCCATCACACTACATAGTGGGCCTGATCTCTCATGTCACCTCCCTGGCAGCTGCAGGTCAGAGCAGGTTCCTATCTCCTTCTTCACTCCCTGCATACAGGACGTGCTTTGTCCTCCACCTTTTCATCTGCACAGGAAGCCACACAGCAGAGCTAGGCTTGGTTTTATCCTTTTCTCCTGGTGTCTCACAGGAATGCTTTTTTGCCAGGAGGTGCAGATCTCGATGCCATATGCCTCCCCTCAAACCCTTCACCAGCGTGAGGTGGTAGTGCGGACCTTCAGTGGGCAGAGCTGGAGTGATTTGAGAACAAGAGTGGAGCAGAAGAGTAAATCAAAGGTAAGCAATTTGGAACAGCCAGTGACACACATGTTTCTGTTCCCCTCTTTGGTTTTGCCCAGCCATGAGTGAGCCCGTTTGAAACATCTCACGAGCTGTGTTTTGACCAGCTGCTGTAAAATGTGGATTTTAGCTCCAGGATTCCTCTCATGGAGGTGTGTTTCCTGAAGACGATGATTTGCACTCCACCATGCATCATCCCTGTTCTAGTGCTTTCATCTGCTCAGCTGCTACTGGCACTTATTTTCTTACCTTTATTGTATTATTTCATATGTCTATATGTTTTCTTTTCTTCCCTGTCTTCTGTTACAGAAGCATGTGGCTCACTGCAGTGTCCTTCACTTCTCCTGGTTCCTCGTTATATCTCGACTTGTGCAAAATGAATGCAAAGTGCCAACAGAGGGGACACTGCTCTTTTCTAGTGTGGATCCAAACATCAAAGTGACCTTTCCTCCTGGAGTCACTGAACAAACTCGCACTGTCAAGATGCAGGTATGCACACTTTAAAAACCAAACTTTGGTAAGCTCTAGTGCAGGTGTTATCCTATGCAAAGTAGCAGGGCTGAAGGTGAGATGTCTGCCCTAGGGTAATTTGTGTCTGACATGGGCTGACCCATCTCAGATCACCTTCTGCTTTAGCTTCCTTGCCTGCAAAATGGGCTGTGCTCCAAGCTGCCATGTGTGGGAAAGGGATCTTTGGCAGATAAGCATGTAGCTGCTGTGAAGGAAACACAAGGATATATTGCCTATTCTTCTCTTGCAAAACATACTGTGAGTGGAAGAACAGCTTAATGAATGAGACTGGGGTGGGGGGTTATTCATGTGGGTCTAATTCTAAAGCTACCCCACTAAAGCAAACTTCCGTAGAGTTGCTAGATAGTGCTAAATGCTACTGTAGTTCCTTGATCTGTCCCAGCTTGCCTGGTTGACACCAGAGCAGACTTCAGCCAGAGTTCACTGTATTTCCATTTTTCACTGCACCCTGAGCCAAGAGCAGCATTTGCAATCTGGGTAATGGGGACCTGGGTAAGTGATGTGGAAATTTGGGTGCCAGCCTGCTCAGCTCAGTGTGCTGTCTTCCACATCCAGGTGCTGCCAGTGTCTGCAGGAGAGCTAGAGGAAATCACAGGTGATGCAGGGTGCAGAGCCAGTCCCCTGCTCTGCCTCTCCCAGGACTCCCTGGTGGACTTTCTCAGGCCAGTAAGAATTCAGCTGCCCCTCCCACCAGGGGTCACAGGTCAGTTTATTCCCAAAATTGGCAAAGAGAAGTGCCGCATGTGGAAAACCGTGGGTGGCAAACTGGGAATTTTGTTTGCCTGTCCTGTTAATAATAAGGCTTGCCGCTTTTCCTGTGAGAACAGCGAGGTGTGTCTGCTGAGTGAGTGGTGGTGCAGGGTGGTGGCAGCCGAAGGTAGTTCAGATCCAGAAGATCAGCACTGGGCTTCACAGACCACCAGCACAGGCTGGGAGAATGGATTGGCATATGGATTGCTCTGCTGAACTGCAAGTGTATTTAGACTGCTGGGTTTGATATGATACATTGAAGAGGCATTCCTGCCAACAGAGGAGATGCTTTGTTAAAGGGCTTTGATTCATGGTTGGGAATAGCTTGAAGGTGATGAAGGTGTTGCCTTCAGGGGTCTGCCTTCTCTCTTACTTTCTTGCTCATGAATCAGTTGCCAAGCCACTGCTGTTGAAAGTGTATTTTCCACTCTGAATACTGCTATAAACAGCAAACAGACACATTCCCTTCCCAGGGATTCCTCTTTTTGCATGCTGAATACCCTGTGTCTCCTAAATCCTATTTTATTTGACCTTTCCTGGCTCTCCTGTGAAGATGTAAAATTTTTCTGGGTACAGGTTGGCCTTGATTGTAACACTACCTAGTATTTATGTCTGAAGCGCATCAGCATTGAAAAGTCTGTCAAATGAGTGTTTAGAAAGAGAAAACTTAATAGCCCTAGATATTGGTGATGCGGATTATCTAATGAATCTGTTGGTGGAAATCAGCACACTGTCAGTTCAAGTCTGCATATTCTGCCAGAATATCTTGGAAGCATTGGAGTAACCTTATCCTTTTATTGCTGCTCTTCTTTGACCAAAGTTCAGCCCTGAATGGCTGAAGAGAAGGCCACGAGCCTTAATTTGGTGCTTTTACAAAGTGAGTCACCCAAAAGTGTGGCTGGGTTTGTAAAGCCATGAATAAAGGCTTCTGCTGCATCTGTCTCTCAGTTGTCATTGTCTTTAGGCATAAATTTGGATCAGTCAAGGCTGCATCTTCTTCATGGTGACCTGGAGGGCCAAACCTGGGATGACATTAGCAGTCAGATGGTACTGGAATTTACCCATATTTATGCAGTGTTTGAAGTCACCCACTTCTCCTGGTAAGTGTAGGACTAGTCCCGAGGAAAAGATGGGATTTTCGTCAGTCTTGCTTTTTCCATACCGTGACTTCTAATTCATAGTTCATGCTATTTACCCTACCTGTTCCCTTTTCCCTTTGCAAGTCAGGCCTAGCTTAGCTCTTTGTCTCTACCCGTCATTCTTTACAGTCTCATAGGTGTGACACTGGATTCTCTTCCTAGGCAGGATCCCTCCTTTTTTTAATTCCTTCTCTGCCAGGTATTGGCTGTGGTACACCACCAAGACCTACATTGGAGGCATTGCCAAGAAAGTCTATGAGCGTCTGCGTATGTACCAGGTTAACTTCATTGCTCTGCAGAGGAAGAAGGACCCCGAGCAAGTCCTGCTACAGTGTGTCCCCAAGCACAAGGTCTGGTCTAGGTTGCATTGCCTTGCTTCTGAGCTTCTTGGGCTTCCCTTTGTAGGATGTAAGGGCAGCAGTGGGTCCTGTTCACTGCCCCAGGGTCATGGCTGGGGTATGCTGTCACCACGATGTGTTGATAGCGCGATACCGGGTCACTGGGATCTGGGAGAAGAAGGAAAGTTCATTCTACGTAGCTGTGCATGGCACACAGTGATTTCCTCCCATGCAAACTGGACAGACATGCCTCAGATCATACACAGGGTCCTGTGTTGTCATCCTTGTCAGGTTGACCCAGTGCTGAAGAAGCTGCAGGATCGCTATCGAGGACCTGAGCCATCCGACATGGTGGAGATGTTTGAGGGAGAGCAGTTTTTTGCAGCTTTTGAGGGAGGCATCAGCATTGATATGGGTATGGTACTAGTGGGCTTCTTTCTGCTCCTGCCTTTTGTGTGTGCTTCTGTTGGGGGCTGTACTCCTTTCTCCCATAGCATTCCTCTCTGTCTCCAGCTTGCCCACAGCTCACAGCAGCCAGCCCATAAACACTGAACTTGTCATATTCTCTAGTCAGCTAGCTTTTGTGTCTACTTTTCTCTATGAAAGTGCCATTTGCAGACTTTCATTTCCTCTCATGTTGTAGCCTGCAGAGGGCAATAGCCAAGTGTGTTTATTTTATGACAGATCCACTTCTGCAGCCAGCTTTGCCCTTTTCCTGGCATCTTAGACACCACAATGGAACACACATAGTGATCCAATTAAATGTCGCCCATTTCTGAGAGACTTTAAGATTTATCTTTTTTTGAGAAGGTAATTCTGAAATAATCCAGAGTAAAGAATTCCCTGTAATGGAGGCCCTAGAAGAGAAGGGAAGAGGGAGCAGGACCAAAACTCGAGGTGATGTTTTATGCCCCAGTGTGTCTAGGCCTGTTACAGCTGCAAACTGAACCATTTTCACAGTATCACAGTATGCTAGAGATTGGAAGGGACCTCAAAAGATCATCTAGTCCAATCCCCCTGCCGGAGCAGGAACACCTAGATAATGTTACACAGGAATGTGTCCAGGCGGGTTTTGAATGTCTTCAGGGAAGGAGACTCCACAACCTCCCTGGGCAGCCTGTTCTAGTGTTCCGTCACCCTCACTGAGAAGAGGTTTCTTCTCAAGTTTAAATGGAACCTCTTGTGTTCCAGTTTGTACCCGTTACCCCTTGTCCTGTCATTGTTTGCCACTGAGTAGAGCCTGGCTCCATCCTCGTGACACTCCCCCTTTATATATTTATATACACTAATAAGGTCACCCCTCAGTCTCTTCTCTAAACTATAGAGACCCAGCTCCCTCAGTCTTTCCTCATAAGGGAGATGCTCCACTCCCTTAATCATCTTAGTTGCCCTGCGCTGGACTCTCTCCAGCAGCTCCCTGTCCTTCTTGAACTGAGGGGCCCAGAACTGGACACAGTATTCCAGATGCGGTCTCACCAAGGCAGAGTAGAGGGGAAGGAGGACCTCTCTCGACCTACTAACCACCCCTCTTCTAATACACCCCAGGATGCCACTGGCCTTCTTGGCCACAGGGGCACAGTGTTGGCTCATGGTCATCCTGTCGTCCACTAGGACCCCCAGGTCCCTCTCCCCTACACTGCTCTCTAGCAGGTCGTTTCCCAACCTATACTGGAACCTGGGGTTGTTCCTGCCCAGATGCAGGACTCTACACTTTCCCTTGTTATATTTCATCAAGTTATTCCCTGCCCATCTCTCCAGCCTGTCCAGGTCTCGCTGGATGGCAGCACAGCCTTCTGGCATGTCAGCCACTCCTCCCAGCTTAGCGTCATCAGCAAACTTGCTGATAGTACACTCAATTCCCTCATCTAAATCATTGATGAATATATTAAATAATACCGGTCCCAGTACTGACCCTTGAGGCACTCCACTAGTTACAGGCCTCCAACTAGACTCCGCCCCACAGACTACAACTCTCTGGCTTCTCTCCTTCAGCCAGTTCACAGTCCACCTCACTACCTGATCATCCAGACCACACTTCCTCAATTTAGCTGTGAGGATGCTGTGGGAGACTGTGTCAAATGCTGTGCTGAAGTCAAGGTAGACCACATCCAGCACTCTGCCATCATCCATCCACCGTGTTATTTCCTCATAAAAGGCTATGAGATTGGCCAAGCATGATTTCCCCTTGGTGAAGCCATGTTGACTGCCCCTCATAACCCTCTTATCCTTGATACGCCTTAAGATGGCACCAAGAATAAGGTGTTCCATCACTTTCCCAGGGATGGAGGTGAGGCTGACCGGTCTATGGTTACCCGGGTCCTCCTTCTTGCCCTTTTTGAAGACTGGAGTGACATTTGCTTTCCTCCAGTCCTCAGGCACCTCTCCTGTTTCCCAAGACTTGGTAAAGATGATGGCGAGTGGTCTAGCAATGACTTCCACCAGTTCCCTCAGCACCCGCGGGTGCATCCCATCTGGACCCATGGATTTATGGATGTCCAGATTGCTCAACTGGTCTCTAACCCATTCCTCATCGACTAAGGCAAACCGCTCCGTTGACCTGACTTCATCTAAAGTCTCAGGGGTACAGGGCTCTTCAGGACTGCCTGCAGCAGAGTAGACAGAGACAAAGAAGGCATTCAGTAACTCTGCCATCTCTGTATCTTCTGTCACCAGGGCACCTATCCCGTTCACCAGTGGGCCTACATTGCCTCTGGTGTTAGTTTTATCTGCCATGTATTTGAAAAAGCTCTTTTTGCAGTCCTTGACCCTTCTCGCCAGGTTTAATTCTAAGGAGGCCTTAGTCCTCCTAGCTGCCTTCCTACATCCTCTAGCAGCGGCCTTATATTCCTCCCAAGTGGCCAGCCCCTCCTTCCATGACCTGTAAACTCTTCTCTTCCACTTGAGCATGCCCAGCAATTCCCTATTTAGCCACTCAGGTCTCCTGGCCCTCTTCCTTAACTTCCTACATGTCGGGATGCTCTGATCTTGAGCTCAGAAAAAGCAATCCTTGAATGCCAACCAACTGTATTGGGCCCCTTTACCTTCAAACAGCCTTGCCCATGGGATTTCCCCTAGCAATTGCTTGAAAAGGCCAAAGTTTGCCCTGCTAAAGTCCAGGGTTGCAATTCTACTTGCTATTCTACTGGTCCTACCACACAAGATCCTGAACTCCACCATCTCGTGGTCCCTGCAACCAAGGCAGCCCTCAACCCTTACTGCTTCAAGCAGACCCTCCTTGTTAGTGAGGATGAGATCCAGCAGCGCTCCTCTCCTGGTTGGCTCATCCACCATTTGCAGGAGGACGTTATCATCCATACACTGGAGGAACCTCCTGGACTGTGGCTGGGTTGCGGAGTGGTCCTTCCAGCAAACATCAGGGAAGTTAAAATCCCCCATGACGACCACGGCCTGTGACTGTGAGGCCGCTCTCAGCTGCCTGTAGAAGGCCTCATCAACTTCCTCACCCTGATCTGGTGGTCTGTAACAGACACCCACAACAGTATCGCCCCTGCCAGCCTGCCCCTTAATTCTCACCCACAGACTCTCAACTCGCTCATCATCTGTCCCTGGACAGAACTCGGTGCACTGTAGTTCCTCCCGCACATAAAGAGCAACCCCACCACCCCGCCTGGCTGGCCTGTCTTTCCTGAAAAGCACATAGCCCTCCATGACTATATTCCAGTCATGTGAGCTGTCCCACCACGTCTCTGTAATTGCCACCAGATCATAGTCTCCTGACTTAACACAGGTTTCCAACTCCTCCTGCTTATTTCCCATGCTGCGCGCATTGGTGTACAGACATTTCAGGGAGCGAGCTGAGCACACCGATTTCACCCTAGGATTATAGGAGGCCTCCCAGTCTTCATCAGTTCTGGAGTGCTGCCCCACTGGGGCAAGCCGAGCTACAACCCCATCCCCCTTCGAATCTAGTTTAAAGCTCTCCAAATGAGCCCTGCTAATTCGTGCCCCAGCATCCTTTTCCCTCTGTGAGACAAACCTTTCCCACTTGTCATTGTCCAGACTGGTGCCCTATAAAACCAGCTGTTGTCAAAGAATCCAAAGCCCTGCCTGTAGCACCAGTCTCGAAGCCAATCGTTTATGGACTGAATCTTCCCATTCCGTCCCACATCATCAGTGGAAGATGGAAGGAGTGAGGAGAAAATCATTTGAGCCCCAGACTCTTTCACCATCCGCCCCGAGGCCCTGTAGTCTTTCTTCATCCCCCTCAGACTGCGGGAAGTAGCTTCCCCCTCACCTGTCTGGAAGACCAGCAGCGGGTAGTAGTCTGTCGGGTGCACCAGGTTGGGGAGCGCCTTGGTGATATCCCTGATCTGGGCTCCAGGCAGACTACACACTTCCCTATGATGAGGGTCAACTCTGCATATCGGGCCCTCTGTTCCTCTCAGAAGTGAATCGCCTACTACAATGACCCTTCTTTCTTTCTTATCAGAGGCAGTCTTGAGGTGCAAAGTCGACCGCCTTTTCCTATGTGGCCTTTTCTGCAAAACCTGAACGTATAGCTAAGTTTCACTGCAGTAAACTAAGCACAACTCTTTAAAGAATAATAAAATGCACTGGTCTTTCAGTTCATGAGGCCATGAGGCCAGAGTCTGTCCATCTGCCCTGATTTAGGCTAGACTCTTAAGTTATTTCTATTGCATACATGAATGTTGTACCTGATTATATTTTTTCCCTTTACCTCTATTCTTATTTCTGCACCCACCTATTTCTATGCATTACAGGATGCTATTGCTGCTGATTCTACCCTCCAAAGGACAGAATGGACCAAGTATGGGAGGGAAGTTGGATGGACTTGACTCCCATCTGAATGTTTTGCTTGGCCTTGCTTTCCATTCCTGAACTCGATCTCCACCTTGTGGCCATTCTCCTTTTTCACCTGTAGGACATGCTTTTTCCACAGCGTGTTTTCCGCTTTCTGGTGTTACCCAGCGAGGAAGGGGGTCGGCGTTTACAATTCGTTCAGGGATGAGTAGAAGCAGTAGATAGTAGTATGGTGGCTGCTAGTGGATGATGGGCATTGGTCAGGCTTGAAAAGCTGCACATTTTTCTGCATAACTTGAGCGTTTGCTGCTTCTCTGCACAGATCGCCCTGACTGCGTGGATGGACGTCTCTCGTTTACTTTTTACTCCCACTTAAAGAACATGAAGGAAATCTATGTGACTTCCCCTGTGGACAGGAAGGACCAAGCTGTAAAAGGACAGGTGAGCAGTTACACTGACTCTTTGTTTCCTCCTCCTTCATCATCATCATCATCATCATTGCTTTTACAGTGCTCCTCATAACAATCTCTGAGTGCCAGGAATTACTCTTTTCCTCTCGTCTTTCCCTTGGCTTTGCATATCGCCAACTAAACCCTGAATAAGCAAGAATAGTAGTCTTGAACTCATCACTTTCTGAGTTACATTCCTGCCATTAACTTTTGGGGTGTTGGCAGTAAATCCAACCTTTATGGCAGAACCCCAGTGCTCCTCCCAGTTGCACTTAATTGGGAGGCCATATCTGTGGACTGAGGATAGGTGAGAAATGCTGAATTCATTCTTTCCCAGACAGAAAAGACATGGTGCAAACAGGCTTGGCCACTGTGCTTGAATCTGAGCCTAACTGCATGCTTTCTCTTTGCGAAGGTCTCTTTCTACCGAGGGGCAGTTCCTGAGAACATCCCTGAAGAGGCCAGCAGGAGGAGGAGAGGACCAGACTCCCTCTGGCTCGTTACTCTGCCCATCAAACTGCCTGTGAGTTGCTTTGTCTCCTATAGAAACAATAATCTAGATGGGGTAAGAGCATGGCCTTTCTGCTCAGCTAATTTTGTCTTCTACTATGAGAACAGATGCAATGAATGACTGTGAGAAATGGCTGCCCAGCCATGTCATGGTGATTTCCCAGTCTCCATGAGCTCTTCTGAAAAGAGAAACATGAGTAGTTGGGAGTGGTCTCCACCTGTCCTGCTCATCTTGCCTGTCAGCCACAGGCTTGTTGGGTAGGTTGTCAGAGAGGGTGGATCCTTTGAATGAATGAGGGATGTACAACAGGAGGAAGCTCGCTGTAATTAAGGGAAGTGTCTATTTTGTTTCTAAACTTCTTAGTCACACAGCTCATGCAACAGGAGAAAAAGAAAGGTCTAGAGTGAGGTAGGTAGGCTGGATTTGAATATAGGTGTTGAGTGTAAGTATTCTGTTGTGAGCCATCCGGCTTTAAAGGCTAGGCTGTATGTTACAGTGAGAAATACAACTTTTGCTTATGGAATTTAATTGATTTTTGAGAAGCTTTAAACACTAAGTACCTTTGTAGGCTGAATGCTTCCCTTCACATCATGTGCCATGATCTCACATCTGACACATGCAACCTCAGCTACAAATCTAGACTGTTTCTTACCACTTAGACAAATATGCTCTGGGGAGATGGTTCATTGAAAAATGCTCTGCAAAGACAAGAAAGGAAATTTCCAGTGTGAGCTCTGACCATGAACACTATGATCTCATGTTTTTCAGAGGCAGTAGGCATTGCTGGTCATTGCCAGCCTGAGTGCTCCTTGCTTTTTAACTGCCTGACTCTTCAGCCCCAAATCTTCCTTCCTCCCTAGTAGGAGACTGAATGGCCAGACACTGTCCTCTACAGAAACAATTTGCTTAAGCATATTCTCTCTCCCTCTTCTCCATGACACAGCGATTGAAGCCCCGCTGGGGTGAGAACCCTGGTGCCCTGAATGGGTTCTCGTTCCCTCCCTTGAACCTGGGCAATGCTGAGACTGGCTACTTGACACAAGCCAACCTGCTGAGCATTGCCAGGCGCGTGGGAGCTGACTGGCAGACCATCGGCCTGAACCTGGGCTTGACCTATCAGCAGATTGAGCGCATAAGATACAATCACAGGTAAGACAGGACACAGAGACAAACAGTGATCCATTCTATCTATCTATCTATCTATCTATCTATCTATCTATCTATCTATCTATCTATCCATAGCTATCTAGATAGCTAGCTATCTATCTAATAGCATAAATTAGTGCTTGGTTGGTTCAAAGTTTTTCCACTGGAATTGTTTCACTGGATAAAAGATGGGTTAACTAATGGTTCTTCTCAAAACATTACCTTTTTTTTTTTTAATGGAAAACTGATTATCTTGCCATTATAAAACAAAGCTGCATGTTTGAAAAACAAAATTGGGAAATAACAAACCTGATGAGTTTTGTAGTTCAGATGAATCACATTCCTGTTTTGTTCTGTGATCTGGATTCCTGGCCAGACTCCATCTCTGACAATGAGCAGCGGTCTATGGCATTAATTGTGAATATCGTCTTTATTCAAAAAGAGCTTGCAGTACGTCATGGGACATGCAGTCTGACCAAAAAGCCAGAGCAGTAGGAGAGTATCAGAGTTATGACCAAAGTACTGTTCCTGTGGGGAATTTACTTTCAAAAGCAGAATGCTTTAATTTGATATTTCCATTAGGAAAACATTTTATAGAGAGATTTTAGTGCAGGAACTGCAGCTCCTGTATAGGTGGGGGAAAAGGAGGCCCACTGAGTGTTTTGTATGTCTGGATGGCTTGGATGGCTTCTTTAGGCCTTCAGTCATGGGTTAGGACTTAAGTAAGGCCTCTTTGGGTTGCTAGTCAGGAGAGTGTGTTGGTTACTTCTGTGTTTCTCCATTTCTTCAGAGAGGACCTTGACAAGCAGATCCTGGACATGCTTTTCTCATGGGCTCAGCAAAACTCAGAGGATCCTGACTGTGTGAGCAAGCTGATTACAGCCATAAAAGAGAGTGGCCGCCAGGACATTGCCGATGAGGTTGAAACCATCATTGAGCTGGGCCGTCAGAAATACAGGGAGTCCATCCGCCGGGTGGGCTTGGAGCAGGACAGCAGCACTGAGGACTCTGCAATAGCTATGGTGTAGCACCAAGCACAAGGAACTGGGTGTCGTATATCCCTCTGTGTAGCTGAAGAGACAATGTCTTGAGGCTCTTTCCACCTCAAGGGTCAGTGTCTTCCTGGGGAGCTGGACATGGATTTACTTGTGAACAGACTACTGAGCTTTCTTGAGTCTATACTCACATGCCGCTTTGGCCAGTCCCAGGCAGTTTACAGGGCATTTATGAGACTTCAATTCCATTTCTTGACACCGAGTTTTAGATCTCAGAAACATGGAGAAATTCAGAGACTGAAGTGTCTGTCAGCTGAGTAGTGGCTGAAGTAGCCATTAATGAATTAATACTCATGTTATGTATATCTATGTGTAACTTATTCCTGAAACTCCGTTCTGCCAGAAACACTGCATGGGAGCATTGGAGTCTGTTTGTGCACCAGTGCTTCGTGGGAAACTGGAGGTGCAGTCCTGATGTAAGTTGTGGTGCAGTGGAGACTGTTCAGCTATTTCGGTTAATGATATGTTTTGCTCACATGAAAATGAACTGTATTCATCATGAACACGTTTTCTGTTTTCTGCCAAATCTCTTCCAGTTCCCTCAATCCCCAACTAAGCCCAAAGTATTAGTGGGGAAAAGAGAAGAAACAAATTTCTAGCAGAATTGCTCTTGGTTTTTTTATCTTTTTCCAAAAGCTATTTTGGAACAAATAAAACTTCTCAATGTCTCTAGGCTGCTGCACCTGCCAGGCTTTTTAGATGAGACCTACGTGCTGCTGGTCTTTGAGAGAGTTCCAGTTTTATTCTACAAATAAGTAAAAATCCATCACTCTGCCATTCTAATGTCTTAGCCCATGGAGTGTTTACAGTCCAGTCTGGAGCACTGGACGTGCAGACTTGAGTTGTCATCTCGGGTGTAAGGACTCCCTCAGATCTGATTTCTTAGGTCATGCTGCCCTTCAAGTCTCATGTTGGGTTCAAGTCAGCAGGTCTCATTTGTATGTCTGTTTTCTCTGGTAGTCTGTGTTATGTGTTCTTGTCTGTAATTTTGATGTATACCAATAGGTATTTGTTCTTTCCTCCAGTTTTGGAGAGATGCATTTGGGCACTCACTGGGAATAAAACAAGGACTTAACTGTTTCACAGCGTGGTCTGCTAACCCATAAATGCCTTGAGGTATTAGACAAACCTGCTGACAGAAAGACATGGGTGTGCTTGGCTGTGCTGCACAGAAATGGGAGAAGAGCTCTGAGGCACTGCTGCTTGAAAAACGCAGGACAGACTGCAGCTGAATTAATGGTATCCTTGTAGCTAGGCCTTGCTGCAGTGGGGATAAGACAGGAAACAGAACATTCAGGGCATGGGTTTGGCTAGCTGAGTGTATGACTAGGGCTCAGGTGGTGCAAGTGTAGGGAGCAACAAGGCTAGCCTAGAGGGGATGGTGCACAGGCTTAGCCTGGCCTCCGGTGAAGGTGTGGGAGGCTTCTGGCTAGGCAAAGCTAGGCTGAGGAATTCTACAGGTAGCATAAGGTAGCATCCACATGGATGAAGCTAGGCTGCACTTAGATTTCCATTTGTGATGGCCAGGCAACAGCTGAGTTAGCCGGTGCCAAAATAAGGGATGTATAGCCTGGACTCTGTGAATCGGCAGAGCTACCCCTCTTCCAGGTAACAGATCAGGCTGGGAGAGAGGGAGGTTACTGCTAGGTGTTTAGGTTGCTTTGAGTATCTGATGCAACCAGGCCAAGTGACAGGGGGTACGAAACCCTGGGCAGTATCATCAGTAGTCAGGTTTTGGGCCAGTAACTTAAGGAAAGGTAAGTAACTACCCCAGACAAGTTATCTCCAGTCTTTCACTGCTGAGTGGCACCCCTTGGGCTGGGCGACCTTGCTGTTATCTGGGTTTCTTCTTGCAGTAACACTGAAGCAGGCACCCAGCTGAGGATACAGAGGTGCTAGAGGGAAATCAGAGCAACCGCACAACTGCTCTTTCCTTCAGCTGACTTGGCAGCAAATATTTGAGCTGGATGAAAGTCAAAGGAAAGCATGTTATTTTCAGATGTTATCTTTGTCAATAATCTCTTTGAGGCACAGTGACTCCTTCATAAGCCTGTAGTTGCTATGGCCAGGAAATACTGATTACAGTTGCAGTAGATGGTTGAAGCAGCAAACCGCCCCTCCCCTTGGATGTGTCATATATTCTTTAGAATCAAAAGATTGATTTCCTTCCTGGCTTCTTTCATGAATTCATCACATACCAGCCAGCTACCTGGCTTTTACTGGTGCCTTTTAAGCACCTTGCACTGTCCTACCTGATGATCTGGTAGATTTTGTGGTTTTTACTGTGCATGATCCTGATGCATTTGAATTTTCCCCAACTAAATTTCAAACAGGAAAAGCCTCCTTACAAAATAAATTAAAAAAAAAAAAAAGGAGAAATTGTTTGGGAGTGGGAATGTTTTTCCCTCCTCCTTTTTTGACTGTAACATCTGTACCGCTCTAACTCTCATAGTTAAACCCTTTACTACTTCATAAACTTGCAGATCTCCAGTAGAATGACCAGGTAGCCCTGGGAGGTGCATAGTGTGTTTCCCCCACACCACTCTCCACTTCCAGGTTCTGCTAACCATGACAGTCCTCTAGCTGCCCGGAGACAGATTCAGGTAAGGGTCTTCCAGGCCCTGCACAGACCAATAAAAGAAATTGCTGAAAAATTAAAGGCCAGGCAAAGCTCAAATCAGTGTGTTAATCCTATAAAACAAAAAGAGGAAGGCAAAGCCTGATGGTATCCTGCAGGAGGTTACACTGTTTACATGATCCCAGCAGTAAAACATGTACAATTCCCACTAAGTGACCTGAAGGAAATACGAAAGTGGGAGGGAACCCACAGGGGCTGTGTTCAGTTTGTCTGCTTGCTGTGGCCAGACAATACTGTAAAATTCAGCACATCCATAGGATTGCTCTGATAAGGAGAAGGAGATACGTGTGGTGTAATGAGGGCTGGATGCTTCAGCCATGACCCTACTAAGCTTGAGACAAACCTGAGGGAGCGTTATGAGATAACCTGCCAATGTATAAGATTTCCTGCTGTTTGGAACCCTACAGTGTCCATACTTGACAGTATCATGCTGCTGTTGCTATTGAAAGGAAAATCTGATGGTCCTTAAATTCACTTCTTTCCCTCAAAAGGAGGATCACAGCATGTTTTGAACCTTTAAAGACAAGAATTGCTTTCACTGGGAAAGGTGTGGGGCTGGTTTTCAGCTACTGGTGCATCAGAGCCCCAGCCCAGGGCTGTCTTGAAGTGAACCCACCATGCTTATCAGTTTGATGTTGTTAAATGAAGAAAATAGCCTTTGCTACAATTAAGCATGTGTCTATTTCCTGAACTTCACAGAAATAAACTATATGTCCTTAAAGCATGATTCTTCTGTAAACTGTTGTGATTTGAAAATTCACAGGGAAAGTTTGATGCTCATTTCACTGCTCAGCTACCTTGAAGGAACTTGGTGACTGGGTAATGCAGAAACCAGGTTGGCTTCATGATGATGGAAAATTTAGGCTCTACTCTTCCTGCCTCACTGGAGGTCTGCAGCTTGAACCCACGCAGAAGGCTGCTTTAGGAGGCTGGGACAAAGATCCTTTTGCTTGGTTTGCTCATTGAACACCAGTGCAGTTCTTGTCTTTTCCAGATAGGAAATAGTGGAACTGGAAAATGTGCAAGGGGCAGGAAGGATGCCAAGACACAAGTACTACAGAGTTTTTGGAACTTTTACAGCAGTGTTACATCTCCTGGGAAAGGATGAAGACTGTGAATAGACTGTTTGCTGTCCACTGTTTCTCAACTAGGTGGCACCGAATGAAATACTTCAACATCACCTGCAAATAAGCAAGAGGAGATACATCTTTCCCCCACTGTGCATATTTGTAGTGCTGACTCATTGCTGTGACATGTTTGAGAGCAAAATATAAATGTTGTGTTCAGAAAGTAATTGGTTAAATTGGTGGGAAAAGGATCCTCTAAAAAGCAAATGAATACAGAAAGCTGAATGTATTCCTACATGGAGAGAGCAAGAGAGTGGGGCTGCCTTTCTCAGGCAGGAGATAAGTAAGACAGCAGCAACAGAGTATGTAGAGAAACAAAGCAGGCAGAGGAGGCAGATCAGACATCTCTACTTGCTTTCTCTAGGAAAGCAAAACAAACTTGCTTCCATTGAAGCTGAAGCTGCCCTATGGGTAAGGGGAGACCAGGCCTGCATGGGTCAGAGGTGGCTGTTGCCTAGGCCCCATGTGGCTGAGCTTTGCTCCTGCATTGACAATTTCAGTGGTGACCCATAACAAACCAGACATCACTGCCCAAAGGGAGAGACAGACCCTACACATGATAAGTTTGAAAACAGCTACTCTGCCTTGTTTTCACTGCCTCTCATCAGAGGCCTGTGGGCACACCAAGTCCCAAGCATTTTGTCTCTGCTCCCATGCACTGGGTCACCAGGTGGAACCACACAGGTCCTACGTGGCCATCAAATGCTGGGTCACAGGAGGCCACAAGGGATTACAGGTTGATCACAAGGGATACGGGACAGCCGCACATGGAGGAGTTGAGTAGGTCTGATTCAGCTCATGGGACATGAGAACTTGAGGGATGCTGTCTGCAGACATTGAGTGAGTGACTTGGGAAAACAGGAAGCTAATTCCTCATCTTTTAGTTCCTTGAGCTGCTGTAAATTTCCAGGCTTTCACCACCCTGTCAGCTCTCTGCTTGAACCAAGGGTAAACCCTGGTATATCTAATAAAAACACAAATAGCTTCAGAAAATGTTGAGTTCTCTCTGTTACCAATGCAGAAAACTTTTTTTTTTTTCCTGATGAAACATGCTATTTGTGACAACTGTTGTGCATCAGTGATGGCTGGAGGGCAGAGGCAGTCACAAATGGATCCATCAGTTTCTTGGGGGCCCAAAATAACATGGCCCTGAAGGAATCTTGTGGCAGCTTTTTGTAAGGCTGTGAGCCCAAGATGCCATGACTTTCCCTGCAGGTCAGGCCATTTCATTTTGACCCAAGGCAGATGACAGCGTCCTCAGTGTCCACTTCACCCTCCAGCCTGGTGGCATGGAGCCATCTCAACTTTCTGGCCCCAAAAGCAGCTTAGTGCAGCCACAGGTTTCCCTTAGTTGTTTGCCAGTGCTGGAAGAGCAGATGAACAAATACGCTGTGGAGAGTGGGGAGCACCATAAAATCCTGGAGCAAATGGCACCATTCGGTGTCGCTTGGCCACACACCCCAAGGAAAGACAGTGATGTTCCCTGTCTTGCAGTGCCCTATAAACCTGGTGCCACCTCTGCACAGGGGCAGATGCAGATGGTGGGATGCTGTGAAGCTATTTCTCCCTGGAATGAAGGGGTAAACTCTGCTGCAGGGCTCCTGCGGCAATAGGTGGCCTCAGCTGTGGGCTCCCTGCCAGCAGCTGTGCCCAGAGTGGGATCGGGATGCCGATCTCACAGCCAAGACAGCGGCCATTCATCGGCACTCAATAAACAGAAGTGCCTTGCTGGTTTACCCAGGAGATAAGCATGCAGGGCATAGAACTGCTTTCCCTTGTGTTCTCCGTGCTGAGTGTGGGAGCCTGCGCTGGGTGCCAAAGAAGCCAGGGCTCACAGGAACCAGGGCTGCTGGGTGTCAGGCAGCCTTGAAGCTGAAGCCCTATGGGTGCTAGGCATGGTGAGATGCTGGTGCTTACTGGAGGTTGCCAGCCCTGTGGGACATGTTGCCTTTTTAGCTTGTTTATGGTTAATGATGGAAGCCTGAAAGCTTTTTTCTTGGTTTTTGTTTTTTTCAGAGACTAATATTGCTGAGCCTTCATTTGCTCTCTACCAGTTGTCTACATGGACTTCAGTGAGGTTTTTGACACTGTCTCACACAACATAAGGCAGGTGTGGGCTGCGTGAGTGGACAGTGATGTGGATTGAGAACTGGCTGAATGACCAGTCTCAGAGGGATGTGACTGGTGGTTTGCAATGCGGTAAACACTGGTGTGCCTTGAGCATCAGAGACTTCCCCCCAACTAGTTGTTAGGCATTTAAATCACGTAGCTACTAAGAACACATCCACAGCCTCCTTCCAAGGAAAGATGGCCAGAGGGGACAGCCAGACCACGTATGCTGGTTCCCCTGCATGGTCTTGCAGCCTTGAGCCCTCAGAGACAGCAGAGCCAGGCTTGAAGTGGAGCTATCCGCTTCGTGCACCCCCTTCACTCTCCAGCTGCATCCACATCCCCTCTCACTTCTGTAATGTCGAGTGTCTGCACAGAAAATGAAACCAGATCTACTGGGTCAGTGGTGTCTGGGTGATTCTCAGATTTTAAAATGTGAATCTGCTTGTTTTATTAATCCTGTTTGGCGGTATTCTCAGCAGTGGCATGCTGGATGCCTCCCCTTTCACCTCTGTGCTGTTACCTTTGGTAACCCATCCTGTGCTCCCAACGGAGAACAAGATCAGGCTTGGCTGAGATTGATTTTTCCAGAAAACAATGTTGACGATGCTAATTATATGTTACTGCCTCTTCAATCTTTATCAGTTGAATTGTCTATCGGTGCGCTGGTAATCCCCTGCAGGATGGCCACCGGGACAAGAAAGCAGTGACCAATCTTGCCCAGTTTGGCTTTGCTAATTGTTGGTTTAATATCCACACTCATCAGGCACGCGGGGATTTCACTATCACGCCACAGTTTATTAAAATAGAAAGCAATGTAAATGGGGAAGGAAGCTGAAAAATGCAACCTCGTGAAAGCCTCTTTCTTTGCCAGCAGACTGAACTTGACCCATGTCCTTGGCAGGGCTAAACCAGCCCACAGCCTCTCCGGCAGCTGGGCTGAATGCAGCACAGGATTTGGAGACTTGTGCAAGGGGACCTTTGTGGCAAGCCGAGCACAAACTTGGTATAATGCTCCTGTGTGAGCCATGATGACGATAACATTGCCTCATACAGAAGGTCCTGAGCTCTGTTCTTCATCTTGTGTCTGACACAGACATTGCTGCTTTTGAAGCTCCATTTTGTACTAAACAGTTTTAAATATCTCTTGTGTCTGCCAGATGAAAAAAAAATGTGTGTTTGAGAGCAGAGGAAACCTTGACAACCTGGCACTCGCTGAATGAGAACTTTCTTCTGCTTTTTTCTAACCCATCTCTTAAAGGCTGCATGAAGAAACGGCTCCTTTGTGCCATGAAGGTTATAAAGAGCAGTTTTTTTGCAGAAGAACCAAAAATAAAGACCGGTGATTGCAGTCCTCTTAAAACTCAGCACAAAGCTGGACAGTGATAACCTCTTCTTTGCCAGGGGAAAGTGCTGTCCTACCTGCACATCTATGGGATGGCACATTATGATAAATGGTAACATCTATGCACCTCAATTCACCCTGAGTTCAGTTCAGCTTTTGTCCAAGTTGTTACAGCACACTGAAACCCGCTGATGCCTTTGCAAAACAGGGCAGTGGGGACCTGCCACCACCAAAGAAGGGGCTGGGAAGGATTGTTGCAGCTGGGGAATGAGAAGGGGTGACTGCAGCTCCCATGCACTGTTTCACTGCTCCTCAAACTGGGGGAGCCCTATGTCAGTGCTTGCCGCAGCAGCCCGCTTGCAACCCGTGCCTTGCTGCCTGCTTCCCCAAGGACATGGTGGAGACAAGGCTGTGGGGTTGGGCAGACTGTGCCAGTGGCTCCCTGCACACAGCACTTAAATTTTCATCCTATGATGGGTGCTCATCCAGTACACGCCAAAACAATGGCCATGGTGCACAGGTCTTCTTACTTGGTCAGGCACCACCTTTCTGGAGTGAGCTTTCCACCTCCTATGCTCTATCTTCTCATGCTTTGCCCAGTCCAGGTTGAAAAGTGCATATGCTGCTCCCTTTCTCACCTACATCCAACTCATTAGCACTGGTCCCTGATGCTTTGCCAATGCCTGGTGAACATCTTCACCCCTTGGGTTACAGGTCCCTAACTGTGAATAACAAGCTCCTCTCTTTTCCAGGTGTATGCACATCTCTGATGTTTCTGGGCTGCTCATTGTGACTTCCTATACTTGTGGCTTTTCCTATGTACACGATGTCCTCATTAGCCTGACGCAGTCCTCCATCCCTGCTCCCTGTCCACCATCTTCTTTGATCATCTCCAATTTGTTGCACAGGCTAACCCTGTGTTAGCGCCCTGCTGGCTACTGTGAGCCTTTGCTACAGAGCTGGTAACCCCAGGCTCGCTGTGCCTGGTGCATGTGAACAGTGAGGGATGTTCTTCAGAAGCCTTCCCCTGGACATCTTCCCCTCTTTCCTTGGGGCTGTCACACCCGGGGACATCATCCCGAGAGGCACAGAGAACTGGCTGGCTGCTGCTGTGCTCCTCACCTTCTTGCTTAGTTTCCAAAGCCACTAAAATGGTCTCTGTGGATGTTTTTGTGCAAGGACCCATTATGCTCCCAAAACCATGACAGAGCCTATTAAACCCGAAAGCCATGGCCACCTGTGGCCTGGAGGCTGTGCAGCGGGACAGCACGCAGTAAGCACTGTGACCCAACTGACCACAGCCAATTTGGTCTTTATTTTGAAGGGTCTTTATTGTGAAGGTAGTGACATTTATTACCACCACCGACCCCCTCACCACCCCCATTTTCGCTTGTCCCGTTGTTCCACCCGCGGGCCGCCTCGCCAGGTGGCTGCAAGATGGCTGACGGGTGAGCTGAGGGAGCGCACCTCGCCCTGCGGTGGGGCGAGGGGTGTCTGCTGCCGGGGGGGAAGCCGACAGGCACGGCGGGGCACCCTGCGGCTGCCGACGCCTGCGGACGCGGCACCCCGGGAAGAGCCTGCCCCGAAGGAGGCCGCGGCCAGGCCCGGCGGCCCCGGCCCGTGTTGCCGTGGCGACGCGGCGGCCGCCCCGGCGGGGAGGGCCCGGCGGCGGCGGCTTTTCCTGCGCCAAGTGCTGCCAGAGGGGGCAGAGCTGAGCCGGGCAGGGCCGCGCCGCGCCGAGCAGAGCAGCTCCGCACCCCGCGCCGCACCGGTCTCCGGCCCCGGCGGGAACCCGCCGCCGCCGCCGCCCCGGACCGGTAAGTGCGGGCGCGGCCTTTCCCCGGCCCTCGGGTGGTGCCGATGGGTGTCCCGGCACCTCTCCTGCCACCGGGCTGCAGCTCGCTTCCCCCGGCCTGGATCCTGCTGCACCGGCCCCTCGCCTCGGGGCTGTGCCGAGCCCCCTTCCTGCATCCCTGGTCCCTGGGGGGACCGGCCCTTCGCCCCGGGGGCTGCGGGCTCCCTGGCCCCCGTGTACCCTCCCCACTCCGGGGGGGTGCAGGCTCCCCTGGATCCCACTTCCCCTCACTTATCCCGAGGGTTGTAAGCCCTCCACTTGCTCCCCTCACCCTGGGAAGTGCCGATCTCCCCCGTGACGGTCCCAGCGGGTGGGGGTCCGTCTGCCTGGATTTGGGGCGCAGGTCTGCGTGTGTCAGCGCCGAGCCCGGGGGAGACTGCCCCGTGCTTCCCGTGGCTGCCCTTGCCTGGTGCTGGGGGGCTGTAGCGGTGTTGCCCGTCCTCCCCCTTGCCGCGCCGGGGAGACTGCGGGTGACACGTGTGTGGTCCCAGCCGTGCCCTTTAGTGCCTCGGAGCTCCCGCTTTTTATATTGTAAGCGATTTGCACGTTTCTGCGGGGTTTCAGAGCCTATGGCTACCCTGGTCACAGGTCGGGATCCTGCATCTAAGCCCCTCTGAGCTCCATCCAGGCCCTCCTAAGGCAGATCTGTGCTTTTCTGAGGTAGGTCAAGGTTAATGTGCTCTTCCTCCTGTGGATGGGGAATGTGAAAATGTGGATAGGCTGTGGAATTTCCTCAAGGTCACCCTGGAAACTGGACCCCAAGCATCCTCTCCTCTCTGCACCCCCCAAAAAGCTAGGCTGCTGGTGGGTGAGGGTGCAGTTGTGGAAATGGGATTTTCCAATGTTGAGGGCCTCTGTCCTGCAGGTCTTCTCAGGTTTTGTTTTCTTCACCTCGCCAGGTTGTCAGAGTAACAAACATCAGGGCACAATCTCAGCTATATTTATTTAGCCTAATATGTATAAGGTGTTCACAGTTAAAGGTTGGTTGTTCTTACCACAGTGCGTTCATCTCCGTTAGTCTCGCTGCTGTTAGGATCTGACCTCTTGTGGTGTGGCTGCTGCTGTTGGGATGGTATCTGCAGTGATTTTAATCACTGCAAGTCACTGTGGCTTTGCTTCTCAAGAACTTGCTTCTTGGCAATGGCAAGCAAAATGCAATTGAACTAGAGTGGTGCTTGGCTGATAACGATGTATCATGTGGAGTTTGGCTGGTGGTCATCTTCTTGTCCTCAGCTTGCGTTATGCTTTTTAGGCTGTTATAAACAGTATAGATGAGGTCTAACAGGAGGAGTTTCTCTTACCTCTTCATCAGAAAATAAACACCAGTACTTAATGAGGATTTATCCTTTTGAATGTCTTGCCTGTAAGATTTTTAACTGTGCACTACTACTGCTTCTTGTCATTCACACAGATAAAGTTTTTCTCCTGCTGCTGTGCCCTTGGGCTCATTTGTTCACCGTGCCATCATAGTAAGGAACGTGATGTTTTGAGGGCAAGGGTGATCTGTGGCAGAGCCAAGTAGGAGTAAGGAGCAAATCTGTGTCATAAATTTGAGCCTGGCACTGCTCTAAAGGAAAGTCTGCAGCCTTGTTTGATGCCCGGGAATCTTGTTAATGTCTTATTAAGTTGCCAGAGCCCTAGTAGATCCTCCTGATGTCATTTTAAGAAGTAGGAATGTGCTGTATTAAGTTACTAGAAGGTAGAAATCGCTGACAGCCTGACAGGGCCATTTGCTCCCTCTTGCCTGCTAAGATTTAAATTGGTGGGCAAGACCAGGGAAAATACCTGCCTGGCTGGCCAGAGTGACGGTAGCATGTACATGTGGAAGCAGCCCCCCTGCTCGTTTCTGTGTTGTGTTTTGTGTTGCTGGTCTCTGGCAGGGCAGAGGTGTGAGGTACTGAGACGCAGTGGCTGGAACTTGGTGTGCCTCAAAGTCTGGGAGCTGTGAGGATTTGGAGCTGTGCTCTGATGAGGGTGTTATAATGGGGAAGGTCTTGCTTAGGAGCTGTAAGCATTTCGTGTGCCTATACAGTTGTTCTTGTGTAACTGTTGTCATGCTGAGAATTGTGAAATAGTAAGAGGGAGACATTTCCTTGAGTAGGGCAGCAGCATTTTTAGGTGAGATAATGTTGTGCTGTGTTTAGCTAAAGACACTTGGAGTCAGCGTCCCAGTCAGGGGTAGCAGTTTTGCAGATTCCCCTAAGAACAGCTTTTCCATGAGGTGTAAAGACTGATTTAAGGAACACTCTTGTTACAGGATGTGTGATGACCATGCAGTGCTGTAAAAGTAGTTAATTATCTCTGGCACTTAGGGTTTTATCTGAATAATCTGCAGCCAGGAGGCTTTAAGAGGCAGGAGCTGTGAGTTGCTCCTTGTCCCACAGCAAGAAGCATAGGTGAGGTGTAGGCTGTGTGATCTGTCTCTGGTCCTCCAAAGGGCCAGGCTTTTGGTTTGTTGCTTGACGGGGGTTTAGTTGTTTTATAGCCTCTGGACTCTCTTTCAGCCCACTGTGGAAATAAAATACTCTTGAGAGGGCTGTTGCCATATTCACAGTAGCTGCTGGAAGGTGGTATGTCTTTGTGAAGTTTGTGGCCAAAAAAGGTTAGCAGTGTTGAATGTGGCTGAGTTGTATCCCTTGGTGATGGCTGTTCCAGTGTGATGCTTTCTTTTGTCACTTGATCCTTGGGCTCACTTGGGGGCAGGGAATGGCAAATCTTTTGCACTGCCAATTTTCCAGTGCCAGTAAGATGCCCTGTCTCTTAATGGGCTGTTCCTACCTGTGTCAAATCAAATTCTCCTGCCAGAATGACACAAAAAGTCATTGAACTAGACACCAAGGGAGAAGGAAAAGAGGTGGAAAAATGCAAAATATTTTTGTTCAGTTGTTAGGAGATCCTGTGCAGAGGAGATGACATGTAACCAAACTGGGTTTGGAATGGCTGGGACAAATGAGTTTCATTATGATCGAGAGTATTGTAGTTCATGTACATTATGATAGGATGCTCATGTCCTACAAGGGAGTTTCTGCAATCTCCCCTTTTCTAGGCTGTTTCAGAACAGAGAGGTATTTCTGCCTAATGCCTTCTTGGTTATCCTTTTTCAGAGTGTTTGCTTTGGATTTTTTTCTTTGTTCTACACAGCTGCTGGTAGTTCAGCAGTGTCCCAGAGCTGTGCACTTTCACCTGTGATTGGAGTAAGTTGATGTTGCTCTGGTAGAGGCAGCAGAGTAAATCTGGTTTGCAGCCGCTGAGGTTGGGGTGTCATGAGATGCCCTCGAGCTACAGGAAGTGCCTGGGCACTCAGCCTGTTTAACCTGTCATTTACAGGTTTGCTAAATGTCCCATTAGGCTTCCAGTTGGACACACTCCTCTTCCAGCTGCCTCTGCTCCCCTGTTTAAATCTGCAGTACTGCGTAAGGACAAGTACCTGTGCTGCTCCTTCAACAGCGACAGTGCAGGATGGGGAAGAATCTGCCTGGTCCCAGCATCCTGCCTTCTGCTGCTGCAGGTACATAAAGATTAGTTATTTTTCCTTTTACGTCCATATATATGTTCACCTAAATTCTTAACCATGTCTTTTGGAAATGCAGAAGACTGCTTTAATGCCTATGTTTGCACATTTTCCTGCACTACTAGGAATTTTGGACAGTTGGAATTGCCAATTGTTTTCATGGCCAATGAGCTATGGATACTGCCTGTGTGAGACAGTGCATTGTTTTCATTTCTTACTATTGAACATGTCATACACAGTGTGTGTGTTTCATGATGCATTTCTCATAAATGCACAGTTTCTCTTGTGGACTTTAGCTTGTCTGTGTGCAGTGAGACAGCGGGACATGACTGCAAGTGCATCCCCTCCTCTGCTGAAGAGGTGCCTGCAGTTTAACAGGACAGTGTGTTGTTGTTCCCTAGTGCTGTGATTTGATGAAGCTGCCTTTCTGCTGCAAGGTTGAGTCTTCTGGCCTCTGCCTGATTGGAGTGAGGACCATCATTTGGCCATATCCAGCTAATAGCATGGCGGGTTGCTGGAGCTAATGCTGTGTTGCTCAAGTTAATCCCAACAGCAGATAAATAACTTTCCTGTCCTCTTCTGTTTGCCTTCCAGCGCAAACATAGCAGGAAGGAGGAGGTGGATTGAGCTGTCCAATGCGAAACTGGATGTTGCTTTAACCTCGCAGTTTTGATTGGTAGTTCCAATTGTGAAGATAAAGTAACAGGGAGTACAAAAGCTGTGGAAAACAAGGCAAAATCCCAGACAACCCCATGAAAAGACCTTGTCACTCTGGGCGGTTTGGATTTCTGTTTGGCAGTTTCCTCTTACACGTATGCAAATATAAAAGCTTTGAGTATTTGCTGTTTTAGGAGTGCCGCCTACATGGAGATTATGTGCCTGGAGAAGGGAAGGGCACCTGGCCTGCAATGCTTATTCTGTGTCACGATAAATGTGATGGGATACCATTTATTTAATTTGTGGGGTCTCTGTTGATTTAATGCAGCCTGTGGTGAGCTGCTCACAGCAATGGACTCGTACACTTCTTTTCTTAAATTTTTTGATAACTGGTTCTTGCTCTCGGTTTGGTGGTGCTGTTGTGGGTGGGTGGCTACGCCTTGTCAAACCACCCTGTGCCCCGCTCTTTCCTTTTAGCACTGATGCTGGTGTGTGGTATATCAGGAGAGCTGTCTGGATTTATTATTTTTCCTTTGATTCAGCTGTGTTTCACAGAATGGCATGAATTCAAGCAGCTGTAGATGACTGAAGTCCCACCAGAGATGCTGCCTGCCCCACCTGGAGTTTGACTCCATGACTGGGGCTCACACTCTTGATTGAAAGGCTGTCCCAGCTTCATGGACAAAGTCGGGGGAGGGAAGCAGAAGGAAAACTTCCTCTCATATACAGAGCAGCAGTGCTGCTGCACTGAGTGACTAACTGGCTTGGAAGAGGCCTTTGGCAAGAGGGATGCATGCTTTTCTTTTTTGGTTAGAACATGGAGATACAGGACTTTCAGCAAGTCATTTTAGTGGGAGAGAGATGCTGTGCAAGTGAGCTCTTCGTTCACATCAACCCAGAAGGCAATCCAGTGGCCATGATCCTTCATTTCTGCATTCAGTTGCAGTTTACAGTGAAACCTTTTTGTTCCATCGAGGGTCTGTGCTGTGCCCAGCAAGTGCTGGCTTTGCATGGATAAATGTGTGGAAGGAAGTGGTAGCATGTGGTGTGCTTAGTCTGTTGTTTCTGTTGCTGCTGATTACTCGGTCCTTTCCACTGTGGTGTCTGACCCCTTCCTTCCTTTAATGAGTGTGCTGTCTGCATACCTTGGCCGGGGAGATGAGGGCAGTTCCCTGTTGCCTGCAGGGTAGTGTGGGATGGAAACACCTTCGCCAAGGCTACATGCAGACTGGGGGTGTGTTTGGTGTCCTGTTCAGTGCTGTGATCTGTCATAGGCAGGGATTTATAAAAGAAAAAAGAAGGAAGCATATTTTAGGGACAGGATATGTCAGGGCTAACTGTGAATTTGGGTACAGTGTTCACCTTTGCCACAGATCCAGGGCATGACCTTGAATAAGCGGTAAAATGTCTGTCTCTGACCTACCCCTACAATTGAATAGGGACAGCAGCACTTCCAGGGTTTTGCTGCTTGTAAGCAAAAGCAGTGCAAGCTGTTGCAGAAGATACGATCTGATGTCGTAAGTGGTCTCTTCTGGGTGCTTCGTTTTCCTTTTTCATTTTGTGTTGGCTTCTCAAAGAAGGAGGTAGCTTCATTTTCCATGACCTGGGTAATCTGAGCCCTTCTCTGTAAAGCAACAAGAACACTTGTTGGTTCATCTCATCCTTTGGGAGCAGCTGTTGTTTATGAATTATTTCTTATAGCTATTTTCTAAGGGTGGTAGTTCTTTTAAAGGACATAAACTACCTTGTGTTGGCCTGACCCTTTCGCTGAACTGCCCTGCTTTTGTTTGTTTTTTCCTTTCCAGAAACTTACAATCCAGATACGTTGGTGCCCTGCTCTGGTTCTTCAAAACTAATGGAGAGCCTGAAGAAAATAGCTTGGATACTGAAGTGATAAGCGCTACAGAAATGCCAGACACTATATAAACAACTAAACTCAGCCTCCAGCCCTTCCTGAAAGAGGGATGATTTGCAGAAATACCTCAACAGATGGTCTGAATTTGGCTCTGGAAAGGAGGGAAGAAATGCCAGGCCGCTGCTGCACTGTGTGTGGGTGCATGCCTGCGTGCACTGTGCAGTGTGCTGCTTGCCTGCATGCTCCTGGGGAGGCTGAGCAGGCTGCTCCTGCAGCCCCTGCCTGCTCAGGAGGCATCTGTGCACCGCTGACTCAGTCTCTGTGGCTCCTGCCAGGTCCCTGGTGTTGAGCAAGCTCCTGCTTCTGCTGTGGGGAGGTTTGGCTTACTGGGCTGCTCTTGTGGAGGTGAGCTGTGGTTACTTTTGCAGAGACACTGGGTAAGGTGTCAGATCACACTGTGGTCTTCAGGCAATCAGGTGGTCTCTTGCGCTGACACCTCTACCTCATTACCTGTGACAGTGTAAATTGAGGTGATCTGGTGGTGGAAGCAAACGGATCAGCTGTGGCAAAGGGCTATTTGGACACACCTATGCATATATATGAGCTGACAAACTTGCTGTTAGCCTGAGAGGGCATGAAATGAGAGAGGCTTTACATGGTCATGGCCAGGGACTCTAAAGAACAACAGCAGAGCTGGCTGCTGTGGGTAACCTCCTCTCTCCTGATGAGGTTCTGCTCATGCAGGGGAAGGAGAACATGATTTCCTCAGCTAGTAGCAGACCTGGGGTCCTGACTTTGGCAGCAGCAGTGGGCTGTGCCACCTCTTCTGTAGGCTCTGCTATGGGGTAGTCGGGTTCCCATGCCAGTAGCCACAGCTGTCTCTGGTGTGGATCATGGATTAGAGCTTAGAAATCCTTGTCCAAGGACCTCTGGAGCAGAGCAGTGTGTCTGGTTCCTGCATTGCCAAACCATTGTTAGTCTCCCCACACAATGTGCCTGTTGCATTGCTCGCTGGCACAATTTTGTTATGTCTAATGCTATTTGCTGTTCCTGCTGTGCACTCTTTGGTGAGATGCTGTTGGTTGGTAGGTAGAGCAAGGCTGTCAGGTAAGGTTTTTTGTTTTGAAAACTTTCTGAAAATAGGTCTAATTCTTGAGCAGTGCAAAATGAATTGCTTTACTGACGATGCTTACTGTGTCAGGTAAATTCTTGTGGGTACATCTGGCAGGTAACAGCATTGCATCACACATGCAGGGTAGCCAAGTAAGACATTTAATGTCCAGAGAATGACTGTCAAAGTTTGACTTATTTCACTTTTTACCTGTCATTCTCTTTCTTTTCCTTGCCTGCCTTCCTGCTGGTTCACAGCAGTCTGGGTGAACAGAGAGCTGGTAAATGCATCATGACTCCTGTGCTGTCAGGTGGTGGCTGCAGTCCCCTTGCAGACAATTCCTGTGCTTGTCACAGAGCATGTATGACTTTCCCTGGAAGAGCTGCTAACCTCTTTAGGAGCAACAAAAACATCAGTGTGGGGCTGCTGACGTGCATTTAGCAAGGAACCATTTTGCTGTGATCTGAACAGCTTTGGCGTAAGCAAACTCAGGTGGGAGGAGAGAATTGCTGTTTGTGATGCAGGAACAGAGCAGGTACACTCATGTGTATCCCTGCAGCAAAGGAACTGGCAGCAGCAGTGTCCTGTATTGCTCTTCATGTGGCTGAGAGGCAAGGAATATTGATTAACATGACATTTAACTGACATTCTTCTAGTGTACTGGGAGCATTAGTCGAATTCTGCCTTCAGTGGTTAGTAATGAGATAAGCTTCCTTCCTCTGGAAGGTGTCTACCTACTGTTGCAGTGTTTGGGAGGCTGGGAGATGTCCTTTTGTTATCCTGTCTACTCTCCATTTCTGGTCATTTGTACAAAAGGCACCTGAAATACAGACTTGGCTCTAGCAAGCAGTTGAGCTTGCAATCTGTACAGCAGTGGTTGTATGCTTACATGGTAGTTCTTACTTGATGCTTTTCTGTCACATTGCCTTAGGTGTAGCCCAGCTCCTAACTCCAGAGTTGGAGGTGACACAGGAGGGTTTATGTCCTTCCAGACCCTGGGGTCCTGTTTCATTAACCTACAGTATTTTGGCATTGGCGCCCACCTTGGTGGCTGGTGCTGTCAGTGCACTGTGGCTTTGCTGCAGGGGCAGGGTGGAAGGTTTGCTGGATTCATTGCTGTTCCAGCCAGGCTCGTGCAGTCCCTCTTCAAGACTCCAAGTGACAGCTATCGGTTGACATACAGCCTCGCAGGGCTCTGAATTCTGTTCAGTCCTCCCGAAGCCCTTATATCCCAGGCTTCCTTGGAGGGGTTCTTGTTCTATTTTGTTGTTGTTTATTGGTTTAATTTTAGTTTTTCCAGTACGCACAACAGTCAGGCTGGAGGTTGCTGCTGGAGGGGCAGCCCTGCTGCTCACTCCTGCCTCTCTCTTCTTGTGCTGGCACAAGCATTTGTGTGTGCACAGCTATGCACTGACCTGGGAATAGGCCTGGTCTGAAATGAGTTCCTCTGGTTGCTGGGGGAAGGAAGAGTACCCTACTGTTTGGAAGTAGCCTGAAGTTATGCTGGACTAGTGGTTGAGTAACCACAGCCTTTGCTGGGAAGAAAGCATCATATGGTTTGAGAGAGATCCACTTTCCAGGGGCTAAAAATCCCTAGTATGATTTCCTTCATGCAAATACTTGCATCTTCTCTGCCACTACGCTGTCAAGACTGCATCGAGTCTGAACCAGTGTCTGTGCAGGACAAACCGTGTTATATTACCCCTTCACAGCCCTGGGTCTTGCCTGGTGCCTGATTGTAGATCCTCTCTTTGAGGGGAAGAGTCAGCATTGTGTCTTTAAAACACTGCAATTTGCATGGCGTAGTTCTTGCAGAGAAAGGTGGTTGCTTTTTTCCAGGCCTCCTGGGGATGGCCCCGTGTACCGCCAGGTGCGTGGAGGAAGTGGGAGCAGAGAGGGGAAAAAACCGTCTTTGCTTTGCTGTGGCACAGTCCCCTAGTGTTCACAGAAACAAGTGCATGCTTTAGAAGGTGCTTAGTGAGCGCATGTTCTTGGAGATGCAAAGAAATACGACCGACTTCCTCTCCTCTTCCTCTCCCTCCCTTGCGTGCAGTGGTGGCAGTGCCTAGCGGGCACCCCTACTGTTAGAACAGCTGATGCTGAGGCAGGCTCATTGCCAGGGGTGGCAGAGGTCAGGGAACTGGTTACCCTTGGGACTGGAGGCTCCTCTCTGAGTATGTCTGAACCTTGCTGGGGCTGCGTGTGTCTTTCTTGCTGTCCTTTTGCTCCTTCCTGCCACAGTCTGTTCCTTCTCCCTCTTGTTTCTGAAGTCTTTGTTCCTGTTTTGGCATGGGAGGTGCACATGGTCCAACCAGTCCCCAGTGCAGATGAGTTTAGGAAGCCGGACTGTGATCACCTAACTTGGTTGAGCTTGCACTGCAGCCTGTCCCACCAAGCTGCCCATGGCTGACTCTAGGGTCATGGAGGAGATGGGTCAGTGTGAGGAGTGGCACGTGGCAGGATGCTGGGTGGCTTGCAGCCCCTGGTGCTGCTCCATGGCAGGAGACTGCTCATGCCACATGGTGCCTGTGGGAAAGGGACAGCCTGCAGGGTGCCAGGCTCACAGTCCCAAAGCAGCGGGTTCTCATCCCAAGCCTTGTGATGTGCTCTGGGCCACAGAGGTAGGAGGGAACAAGCTGGCTGGCCCTTTGGAGAGGGGTGAATGAGCAAGGCTTTTTCACATGAGCCAGGCAGCTGGGCTGAGCAAACTGTAGGGTGCAAGCTGCAGTGCTCCAATGCTTCTCTTCTGAAAGCTCTGTCAAGGCAAGTACTTTCCACTCTCCAACAGCTATTATAGAAGAGCTTGGGTTTGCTGTGCCCTTCTCTCACTTTGCCCTAAGGGCACACTGGGCTTGTTTGAATTAATGTAATTAGCACATGCCTTATTAGCTCACTAAGGCACAAAGAGCTCATGTATATTTGTAGCCAGGTTAAGCAGCCCCTATTAATTTAATAACCATGTCCTCCTCAGCACATGGCAACAGTTCATCGCTGGTGGTGACTCAGGATCAGCCAGTATGGAGGGAATTTGGACAAGTTGTATGTGTGTGTGGTTCTCTTTTATTGTGTTGTATTTTTATTAATGAGCAGAGCTGTGAAGGGAATTAGCAGGAGACACAGTAGATGGAAGGAAGCCTTCAGTGAGGTTTGCCAGCCAGCCGGCCCTGAATATTTCCTGTGCTCTACAGTGCCTGTAGAAAAGGGTCTATATAATGAATCAGCATGATATGACACAAGCTGCGAGGTGGAAATGTACAGAAATAAACTTTGGCAAACTGTGCTTGAACTCTGCTCCAATCAATTTATGAATTAGGTACTGATAGTAATTTTGCTGCGTTGTCTAACCTATTTCCCCTCGGTGAATCCTGGCGCAGGGGAGGTAGCTGGTGTATTCTGGTGCTACTCATAAGTGAGACTGTGAAAGGGCAAAGTTCTTTGAAAAACAAAAGGAGTTGTAAGCAATTTCATTCTCTGCAGTGCTCTGTCCCTTTTGCTGCTCTGGGTCTTGCCACATACAGAGCTTAGCCAGGTCCCACGGGATGCTTGCCACCAGGTAGTTTTGTTTGCTTGTTTTGTTAGTTAGGGGTTTTTTGTTTATTTTGTGTGTGTGTGTCTTTTGTTGTTTGGGTTTTTTCCTCTCAGAAGATGCAAGTTATGGGGGTGAATGACAGTTTGTGCTCCACCACCATGGAATCATGCAGCCTACAAGTCCAGGATGGTGACATGTGTCTATGTTCCTGTAGCCCCACATGTGGGATAATGAGGTCCTGTACTGCTTCTAAAACTAGTGAGTTAAGCATTTTGGGGGCTCTTTTCAGCCAAGATCACTATGCATACAAAGGAGGCTTCCTGCATTTCTTCTCCTCCTCCCTGCAACAGTCACAGGTCATGCTCTTCATGGTGATTGTGTGTAGGAAGAATCTGCTGAAAAGCAGCTGATGTGCTTGCACAGCTGTGGTCAGGTTTTCTGCAAGTAGCTGTTGGGGTGAGACGCAGGTATCCTGCCTGTTCCTGCTCCCTTTTTTTTTACTTTCCTCATTTGCTGTTTTGCCCCCTTGCCGAGTAATCTTGTGCTGTAAAGCTCTGAACTGTTCCAGGTCGTTGTGAGCTTGTGCAGGAGCATCATTGAGAAGATGAGGCTGTTACACACAGGCAAGGAAATCCCATGAAACTGGACAGAATGGTGTATGTAATAATGTGCCCTCTTCACTGCAGCTGATGGAGGATCAAGCTGCTAGACTCCAGCAGAGACAACTTGCTCTTCTGGCTTCCATCTGCTGAAGACCTGGCCCTCCTGGGAGGGATAGTAGGAAAATAAAAGTCTCAGTGGGGTGATAAGGGTTGCACACAAATCTGTCTGCAGTAGGTTGGAGCAGATACATTTATTTCTTCTTCCTCGGAGCCTGTTCCCACATCATCCCAATGCTTAGATGAAGGTACTGTCAGTGGTTAGTGGGATGAGGAGCTGTGATAGTCTACATTGTACTGGTGGTACAGAGGTGTCCCCCATGTGCAGCTCCTACAGGGTGCATTGTGGGGGGAAATAATAAAAGATGAAAAAAACTGAAAGTCTGCAAGAGGAGAAGTGGTTGGTGGGTAACTCAGATGCTGGTTGGAGGTGGTGCTTCCTTTCCCCCTG